GAAAGAGTTTCCTCAGTTATTTATAGTACAGATAAACTCCGAGACTGTTTCAGAATGCCATGGCCAGTTATGCAGTTGGGAGCAGTGAGAAGTGGTCATATTATTTGTCTCAGAGTTTGCATTCTTTTTCAGGGTTTGCAAGCACATGCCTTTTCAAGAGCCTCCCTGTCCATTTTGATTGAAAATGAAGATGTTTACTCAGTAGCATAGGCAGGTGCTTTTCCCAGCCCTGGTTTGTCAGCATTTTTCTTGCTGGTGTTTGCTCTGCATACTGGCTATGGATTTTGAAATGGTCTAGGACCAGACAAGGAAGGGTCAGATATCTTTGGTCAGATTGCAACTGTGCCATATGTTTTGGCTGGAGAGACCAGCCTGGTGAATTGGGTTGTTCTTTTTTCCTTTCACCTCTTCCTAAACTCTGTGTGGCCATTATATAGAATTTCCTTCCAGGCAGACTCAAAGCCCAGTGGGGTGAATGATTGTAGGCAACCAAAGTTCTCTCTTCGCTTTACTGTTGTGGACTCAGAGCTTCTTATAAATAGTCATTTTTAATGTGAGCAGCCACCTAGCCCAGAGAAATATCCCTGTCTGTCAGAAACTTGTGCTTTCTGTAGTGGGTGTACTGGGTGATCTTGACGAAAACATACTCTCTTGACATTTCCCACCCCCTGCTGTGTGTGTGAGATTAACATTCTCTTTATTTTCCTAGCATCAGGGCATGTTGGGATATGAGCCAGGAGGTCCTGCTCTAGTTGCCCACGCAAACCAAAGGAACTTAGGTTTATGTAAAACGTTGCTTGTGATTAGAAGATCACAGAGTCTGAAAATCATATGCTTTTGGGGGAATGTCTAGCGTATTCTTAACTTTCTCACTGATTTCTCTCAGTTGCGACTGAAAAAAGGAGCAGGATATGGTAATTATAAACTTCTCTAGAAATATTAGCAGGGAGGTAGAAGAGTAATGAAAGGGACCGGAATTCAGAAAAGGTCATTTACTGCTGACTACATGCCCTCCTGGCCCAGCAAGTTTCCTCAGTGTCCTCATCTACACAGCAAATAGCCACTATTTACTGGCCACCTCTTTTTAAGAGCTGTGAATGCATCTTGAGACAGAGATTCCTTTGAAAATCTGAGAGCAGTAGTGTAGGGGCTGAAGAACTCAAACTAGAGTGTAGAAACCCTGCCTGGTGGGGACTAAGATGAACTGGTTAGTGTAAGATGTGTCTATAAATGGCTGTTCACCTTCAGCCCCAGTAAACTGTTCCCAAGCTGGAATACAAGCCTTGTATTGTCATAGGGTTTTTTTTCTTTCCTTGTTAAAGAAAATGCAGACGTACAGATTCTTTCTTGAATGTGAAACCTCCTTGTCTTTACATTTTATTGGTTGCTTCAAAAGATTTTTAAACATACTTTATGGGCTGAACAAAACACACTTGTGGCCTCCTTTCTGCCCATGCCACTCCTCCCTTTAAAAAATGTTAACAGGTTTATTGAGATATAATTCATATATCATATTCATACATTTAAAGTGTACAATTTAGTGGCTTTTAGTATCTTCACAGAATTGTACATCTGTCACCATAGTCAATTTTCGAACATATTCATCATCCCCACAAGAAACCCCAAACCTTTTAGCTGTCTATCCGCACCAGTCCTAAGTGACCACTGATCCACTTTCTGCCTCTATAGATTTCCATATTCTGAGCATTTTGTATAAAGGGACTAATACAGTATGTGTTCCTTTGTGACTGGCTTTCACTTAACATAATGTTTTGAAGATTTATGCATGGATCTCTACTTAATATTTTTGTGTCGCTGAATAATATTCCATTATATGAATACAGTTGTCCATTCAACAGTTGATGGATATTTAGGTTATTTCTGCTTTCTGGCTATTATGAATAATGATGCTATGAATATTTGCGTACAAGTTTTCACGTGGACGTATGGTTTCATTTCACTTGGGTAGATACCTAGAAGTGGACTTGCTGGGTCATATGGAAATTCTATGTTTAGCCTTTTGAGGAACTGCCAGACTGTTTTCCAAAGTGGCTGCACCACTTTACATTGTTACCAGCAATCTACTATGGTTCCAATTTCTTGCTTTCCTCATCAACACTTTGTATTGCCTGACTTTTTGATTATAGCCATTCTATTAGGTGTGAAAAGGTATCATATTGTGGTTTAGATTTGCATTTCTCTAATGATTAATGATGTTGAGAACCTTTTCCTGTGTTCACTGGCCATTCGTATATCTTCTTTGCATAAATGTGTATTCAGATCCTTTTTGCGGTACTTATTTTTGATCCAGCTCTTGAGATTTTATCCTGAGAAATGCACGTAGTCACATCCACACAAAAGTTGTTATACAATTTTTAGGAGTTCATGATTCTCTTGATATCTCTTGTGGGTCTGAGGATACCCACAGAGGACATGCGAGGTAGCTGGGATTTTTCTGGGCATTTTATGTGCTTGGTCTCACCCATGATTATCTACAAGGGACCTCATGGGATTTGTGTGGGGATTAGATGTTCAGGAGAGTGATTTTGTAAACCCTAAAACACTATATAGCTTCAGGGATTGGAATAGGCGCAAGTTCTGAGGGTAAGTGACAGTGAAATGAAGTTAAGGGCATGAACTCCAGTCAGACTGTCTGTGTTTGAATCCCAGTGTCATTTTTATGAGCTATTATGTTCTTGAGCAAATTAATTTCTTAACCTCTCTGACTCAGTGTCCTCATTAGTAAAATGGAGATAATAACTTCACCTCATTCCCACATGCTTTTGGACAGAGTTAATA